GCTAATGATAATGTTCTCTTTATTTATCTCATAAATATGAATAAATAAAATGTTTTTATTTAGGCAAACGTTTATAGGATTTAGATGACGTTTAATATAGTATGCAATTATTGCGTATTTGTAATTCATTTCTTCAAAATGTTTGTTTTGGATGTTTTATAAATAGGTAAATGCCTAGTGTTGTTAATTAGCTTGGTCGTAAAATTTACGACCCATTTTAGTGCTCAGATCTGGTCTAGTCCATTTTTAGATAAAAGCTCAAGTTGGGTTTTATACAACAAACCAATTAACAACTATATATGCCTTTTAAGCCTGACCATAATATAAAGGTAATACAAATTCAGTGGAGGAAGAGTTCTGAAGGGTCAGTCCATCTCCAGTAAAACATCATATTGATCCATCTTTGAATATCAATTAAAAAACGAATTTAAAAAAACACGTAAGGTTTATAAGAAATCATGAGGTAGAGTTAAATAACATGTTGCCAAAAAAATTCTATATAATTCCTTCCCAGCATTATTTTCAATGAAGAAGAGCGCATTAATATATTTGATTCTTTATTTTAGATTACAAATAGGAATTTATTTATATCAGTTTCATTAAATTCCATGTATATTATTGTAAAAAAATATTAGTTTGAAAACAAATCCAAAATTAAAAAACAAATAAAGAAGAAATATAGCTTAAAGCGATAAGAAAATAAGGAAGATTAAATCTTGGAAGGCTCTTTGGAAAGAAGACTGCAGTTGAGGCCTATGTAATTCGCTTTAAGGATCGCTATGACCAGCCTCCGCCTTAGTAAGAAGTCTTCTCGAGGATCTCCAAAGAGCTTGCATATATGAGATCCTAAAAGAAGGATAAGGCAAGTTTATCAGGAAGTTATTGTAAAGGAGATTATTAGAATAAAGGCATGATCTTCTGAAATTTCGGAATATTTGGAAATTTTGAGCTGTTTTTTCTGCTCAAGTATGTTTGGCTGGCCAGATGAGGCTATGGATTTACATAGGAATAGTCCCAAACGATAAATTAGCCCCTTTTTTATGGAATTTAATTCCGTCACTAAGTGCTTCACGACATATTTTGTAATAAATAGAATAAAATTGATAAAAAAAAATCACTAAAAAAAGTTATCCGTTATTGCCGAATAATGCATTTTGCCGAATAATGCATTATAACAGAGAGGAATAGAATAAATATTTTGAGTATGATATTTACTATTTCCATTAAAGGACTAAAGTTTTTTATCATAAGTCTTCAATGGGTGTCCGAAAAAACATTGATATTGAAGGACTCTATGTGAAAATTAAGACAAACGATCGGGCATACCTAGAAGAAACTATAAAGTTCGTTTGTAATTCGTATAAAATATTGAATGAATACACTATTTGGTCGCACTGACAATCATTTTCCAAATAACATCACAAATATGGCAAGCAACTTATGTATATTTTGTTTATTTTAAACCTCTGTTTAATAAAATATTAGTTTTATGATTCATCCAATTTTCATTTTAGTAGAGTACAGTATAACTTGCTTATAATTTTCCCGTTTATAACGCTATTCCGCGTCTACCTGCAAAATTTTTATATTTTCACAATTTCCTGTTTTTAATATTTCCTGGTTTTTATTTTAAAATTTTGTTCCCCTTTAAGAAGCGTTAATAAGAGATTTTTATTTTGTTCTTAATTAGGGAAGTGCTTAAGCCTTTGGCGGCTCAGTGCTAAAATAAATTTAGAGGCCCTTTAAAAAAATCTCCAATTTGCTATTGCTTTAAAAAAGGAACTAGCTGTTTTTAAATGGAATTCGCAAATACGCAGCTTGAAATATGAATGAGATAATATTTATGGAATATTAAGTAAGTTATAAATAATTTAATTAACTTTTAAATGCATAAGAAACAAACTTGGTGGAACATAAAATAGACTTAATTTTGTGTGGCCAGTGTTGCTGTCCTGGCTATTTAGTTCTTAATTCAACATTAAAATAATATAAAAAAGCAGAGTTTGGAGCGTATACCGAAAAGGATCCGGTTCTAAATATTTTTAAATAGGCTATTCTGCTTCCGATTCATAAAAAAATTTTAAACAGAAGTTCCGGTTTTTAGATTTAAACTTAGTTACGAACCTAAACTCTGTTAAAAAGGAATCACAATTTTTTTTGAACAATATTAGACAAGAAGTATACTTTGATTAGAACTAATTCCTAGCTTAACTAATTAGTTACGAATTTAGTGAACCAAATTATTTGTATGTCCAAGCACATTTAAAAGGAAATTCACATAACTCATATTGTTAAATTTAAAATATTATATGAATAACCGAAATTTAGTTCACGAAAATTAATTACCAATTTATGAAACTTGGGCATTTACGCTTACTAACATTAACACGCAATACGTATACTTAATTCATAACTAATTTAGTTGAGCTTGGACGAGTATTAGAACTAAGTTTAGTTCCTAAAAATATTAAAATGGGTTCTAGATTGTCCGTTTCAAATTTTTATCATAATATAATAACAGCATTTTTTTAAAAAAGGATGGTTTATAACAAAAACAGAAAAATTATTTTTAGAATCTAAGGCTGTAGCAGGAATTTGTATTTTTTATCATGTCCTTCCGAAAAAAGGGATCGTATAAATGAAATTTAAAAAAAATCGTATAAAAAATATTAGTATTCTAAATAAATGTTTTATTTCATATTATAAATGATTATTTTAGGTTTCCCAAATTTGCTTTATAAATTTAATTTATATTGAAACTTATTAGAGTTTACAACTTTTGTTGCACCTTAAAAGAAAGGTATAAATATTAATGAATTTTTAGAAATATAAATATTTAATGTTTCGTTTACAATAAAAAAATTAATATATAGAGGAATAATTTACTTTAATTTTTGTTATTCGCGATTATATATTATAGGCATATAAAAAAATTCTTTATACTTTGTATAGAAAAAGCTAAATTAGATTTGACATATTCTCTTTTATTTTAATAAATTAGTTTTTTATTTTTAATTTGGTTAACTCGCTAGTATAGCAAGCATAACAGTAAATGCAGCGCGGGGGCCTGATTCTTGCCTTAGGTTAGGACCATCAGAGAATTTTTAGGTCCCGTGAATTTAAAAAAATTGAGTTAATATTTCATTTGATTTGAACATAACATAAGCATATTTGCTTTGAAAAAAAAGTATAAGTAATTCTCATTCTTTAATTAGACGTGCATGATCCATTCTAGTATGCTATCAAATTTGCCAATGAAAGTTTATTTAATTCTTATATATTTTTATGTAATAAACTACGTTTTGGATTTATTGTTTAAAACTTATAAGGAGACGATTAATAATAAAGATTAAATAAATTTTTATAATACAAGCAATTAGTCTTATAATATTGCGAAAGTTTCTTAGTTAGACGCCTATAACTCCAGAAAATTAATAATGGCCACCTTACCCTGTATACTCTAATGAATGTTTAAACCTGCTTCAATTTCTCTCTTTCAATAACGATAAAAAAAATTTAAGCTAGAACAGAAAAGACACTTTTTACCTGGAATATTAGGCCTGTTTCATTAGTCCCTCTTTAGGATGTTAAATAATTGGTTATAAATTTAATCTGAATATTAAATTTGATACTCGTAACTAGACCTGTGAGCCGACGAAAGGGCTGGATAAAATATATGTATATTTTTACATCTATATTGAAAAGATAAGTGATTACATATTCAAACTCAATTTTATAATTGTGTGTATAAAAATAAATTCAGCAGCGTGCAGGCATGAATGTCATAAACGGTGATATTTGGCGTGATCAAAAATATCGGCATGCGACCTCGTGATTAACTAAGCCGATCATTAATAATTGGAGAAAAAAAACTAAGATCCAAATTTTTATGGTAATCTTAGAAAATTTAAAATATTTTAAAGAGAATGACCTCTTATATTATTTTTTAATTAACTGATAACCTAATATTATCTTCAATAATTCGTGTGGGAAGCAAAAATCTAAGAAAAAGATATGTCTAATAAAAAATAAAGACGGCGTTATAAATTAATATTTAAATTGAAAATGTTTAAAAACATTTGATTTTTTAGTCCCCCCCCCATTATAATAGTTATAAGTGGATCTCTATATGCCCTACAATTAGTAGTGATGTATAGCGTCGTTATTCGTTATTTTTCCTTATATACAAAAATGTTGTTTTTAAGTAGCATATGTGGCCTAGTCGGCGAATGCATATATCACCTACCATATAGATCTGGGTTTAAATCCAACAAGGACCAGATTTTTTCTGAAGCTAACTATAGTGTGCTAAGGGGTATGTATATATAATATCGGAAGCGACCGTGTGATAATAGGATATTATAGGGAGCTCAAGCCCCATCTTCGAAAATACAAATTTTGAAACAAAAAAAATATATTGATTTAGGAATTTTCGATTTCGAGTACCCAATGAGTCCCCAGAAAATTGTAAAGTCTAGTGACCTCCCTGTCATAACATTTATAATATTCATACAAATCTAATTTAAAAGCCTTGTTTACCGCTTGAATAAAAGGGTTATATAGTGTTGCTAGATCTATATATTAAAGAAAAAATATGGTGCCAACTTCCTCTTAAAGATGTTGAGTAGCTTTTATATGAATCTAGCATGTCGATAATCTTTTGGATCATTCGTACTTCGTTGAGAAGTGAACTTACCTTATTCCAATATAAGTACAAAACATAGAATAATCCTAATCCATTATTAAATAATGTATTTTAGTCAGGTATGTTGGGGCTTTAAAATTAAATTGTAAGAGGCATAACAATTATTAGAACAATAATATATAGAATTTAGATGTTAAAAACATTCTATTACATTCAATTAAGCTATGTATTTGCAAGCAAGATAATATATAAATTTAATAAAATATAAGAATATGAGCTTTTATATTTTATAAAATTTAAATGTATTTACCAAATAAATTATTTTTTTTAAATATATCTATCAAATAAATGATTTAATTTAAATATAAGCATTATTGATCGGAGTGGGTAATAATAAATATAAAATAAACCTATAATATTAAAACATTTTGAATGAGTTTTTAAATGATATAAGTGACATTTCAAAATATGGAAAAAACTTGTATGTCTATATAAATATTTTAAAAAAATTTTGAACATGAGTAGATAGATTTAATTGTTTCATTTTATTGTGACTTGTAAGTTATTATATATTTTAATTAGCTAATAAAAAAGATTTTATTTCTTAAAGTTTCAAAAATAAAAATTTGGGGAATTAAGAATGGCTAATATTAAAGTTTAATTACGAATACATTCAAATTTTAAATGAGCTTCTTAGGGTATTCTAGCTAGTTGGAATTATTCGTGTTGTTATTATTATTATTAGACACTGCTGATTGAGCAACCCATGTGTTAACAGAGTCATTGATAGAAAAACAAATATTTTTAAAATTATCGGACAGAGCTTGGGTTAATGGTTGAGTGGATGAGTGGTCGGTATTATCTAGATTTAAAATAATAGCTTAAGATATATATTAGGAAAATATTTTAATTGTAATCTTACAAAGTTGCAAGGAGAAAAAAAAGAATTGTATAGACCTGTAGAGTTGTTAAATTTCATATATTTTTAAATTTGGAATATTTAGGTATCTAGTACTAAATGTTACTATAGTCAACATAATAAACCTACAAAATACAACTTGATTGTAAAATTTCAAATTTTAATAAATTAAAAAATCGGCGGAATAATATACATCCACCATTTTTATAACTATATACCAAATTAATCGCTATAAATATATGTTCGATTTCAGGCTATCCGTGTTTTAAATCAAACTTGTTTTAGCAAAAAAAAATGGCCGTGATTGAACATGGGTAATCTGATATGATACAAGGTTGAGGTTGTTTAAAAAAAATTAGAATGTATAATTAACATTTTTGGCCATTGTAACAGCATATTCAGGAAAGTTATTTTAATGAGCCCACATTCACCCAAATCAATCAATTATTAACATTTCTGCAAGATGAGCATCAAGAATAAAACTAAATATGTGATCTCAAAATAATTTGTTTAAGCAAATTTACCAATATAAATATTTTTCGCATTATATTTGTGAATTATATAATTATATTAATTAATTAAAATTAAGTCAATAGAACCACCTCTCTTAGAATATTATGGAAGGATTCTTCCCTTATTGTATAATGCAGAGGACATACCCTATATGTAAAAGGAAATTTGGATAATATATAGGTTTTTAATTTTAACAATTTAGTCTCAGTAAAAAAGGTGATCCCTAAAATATCTTCAAACTTTAATCAAAAATATATCACGATTGGCATAATGCCTAATTATAGATTTTAAGATTCAAATTTTAACAAAAATTATAATTAAATGTTTATAAATAATTGTTAGATTTCAGTAATATGACAATCTCAAGATTTTAATTATTAAGGCATCCCTGGTTATGTGTAAAAAGAGTTTTAACCACATTAAAAAGCCTTTCTACAAAAGCATTTACGGCAGTGTGATGTTATACATTATGAATAACAATCTTATATGAAATAATCTTCAAATATACTAAAATACCGACACTCATTTTTAAAAAAATCATTCAAAATTTTTATCATTATTTGATTTTTTTAAAGGTTATCTGTTTGTAATTAATTGAAAACTTTGATAATTCATAACTAATTTGTGTATCAATTGCTTTTTATTTTAATTTTCTTATTTAAGTCCAATTAAGTTTCAAATAATAAAATAGGCATTATAAATTGGCCAAGTAGGTTCAATATTTGAACCCACTGATGCTGGATTATTTTTTCTGTTTCTTAATCACTTGTAATATTGATCTGATAAAAAAATTTAAATTAATATAAATATAATTTATTATATTGACGTCATCCATTATGTAAAATTAAACTTGGTGGACATATTATTGAATCAGATATTTTTTAATATAAAAAAACGCAAATACAGATACCTCTAAAAATATATTTAGATACTTTAACAATCCTGGTATTGCATTTATTACGATTTCCGATAAATACAAATATTTTAAAACTATATTATAAATTGAATTTAAAAAATTTTAAATCCACAATTTATTAAAATAATATTGGGATCCTAGTTAAAGAGAAAAAATAGTATTTTATCTGTTTCATCCTTATAAATTAAATGAACGACATAGTAAATAAAATTGAAAAAAATACTTTTTTGAAGAAGATGATAAAAGGAATAGAATTTATAAATTCCAGATCCAGGTTATTTATATATAAGATATTTTTTTCCGAGTATCTGGAAGAACCCCTATATTCTCTACAAGTCATTCAGCCATATTCGCGAAAGGTTCTTCAAAATAATTTCCAAAAGCAACAATAAAATAAAAACGCAATTAATTATTTGAAAGTGCTATATATATGCTTGAAATTTATATTTTATATGTAGCATGTGATTTGTAGAACTGTTTAATATAAATAAATATGTAATATGCTGCAATTATGTATAATATAATGTTTTTGTTGTATTTATAACTTTTTACATTTTTTTATGTTACTCGCATTTTGTTCTTCTAGCAGATATATTCATTTCAAAAGAACTGATGAATTATTATTATTACATTTAAATGTAATCAACATTTTTTGATTCGTGATTTTTTTTTGTTTTATTGTTTTTTTAAAAAGATAAAAAGAAGAGAAAAAATATTATTGAAAAATTATAAGGTATCTCCAGCAATACTCCTAAATATAATAAAAAAAATGCTTGGAACTTTATATTATTAAAATAAGTAAAATTTTAATAATTTTATATATTGGGAACTCCTTTTTATCCCATCTCATTTCTTTGATGAATTATAATCGAATTTTTATTTTTAACCCCCTTTACACCCCTCTCCCACCCACCACAGACCAAAAGTAAATACTATTATTTCAGTTAAAAGATATTTCAAATAGTTTATATTTGATACCTCGATATTTTATTAAAAAATACCCGACCCCAAAGGCCTAGACTCGCCAATTAAGGGGAGTGATTGATTCCAACTGGATAGATCTTTTGATGCGCCATTGATTGATACGTATATACATTCCTAAGGTCAAAAAAAAACTTGAAATAAATGGGGTTTTACTGGGTTCCTGCTCGGGGTAAAAAAAGTAGTCAAAATTGATAATGTTGTCATTTTTAAACAAACCACGTCCAAGGAGTAAATCGAACTAGTGACAGAGTGAACCTCTATCGGGATGCATCCCTCTGAGCCATTACGTGATTTGAAATACTAACAAATATGATTTATAAATATTGGGGCAAGAATGCAAAGTTCTTAGGCACCTTTTAATATAAAATAGCCTTAGATATCTAAAATCCAGTGAAGAGCATATTTTATCTACTTCACTTCAATGGTATAATTAGGCAAGCTCATAGAAATATTAATAATTGATTAGCTTGGAATGTACAGTGACTAAAATTGGTTAACTTTTTCAAATATAAGGTTGAAATAACATATAGAACCAGATTATTTGGGCAAAACATTAGTGAAATATAGAACAATATACTTGAAATTCGCTCGTTGTCATCTATAGCTTTATCTAAAAGTCCGCGCACGTAGGAAGATGCTGAACTGCTTATACTGCAACGATCGTCCAATTGATCTTCATCGTCTAAGCATGATAGGTTAGAAGGTGAAGGAAGGCGGGAAAGAGAAAGTGTATCTCGATGAGGATCTATATGTTAATTGTAAAATAAAATTAAAATTGTTTATGCAATTATTCATGATAGGAGAGAAATTTAAAAAACAGGTTGAGTATTTGGCCAGTAAAATACAATTCAGTCAATTGACTGATAGAATATGGTAGGATTCAATTATATTTTTTTATGGCAATCCTTTGGTAAATATAGTAATATCTCCCTAAATAATGCATATGATTAACATCTATATTTTGATCGATTCATTCTAGAAATAATATTTCGTTTGATCTGGCAGAGTTTTTATTTTGAATTTGATTTTTAAGTTATAACTAATTTTTCCAAAAGATTTTAATCTTCCATAATATTAATCCCAAAGAGACCCATTTCTATTTGAATAAGTTCAATTTAGAGAAATTACTATGACATTTGCCTCTTCCTTTAAATGGCGAGGTGTGCAAAGACCCTTCCATCAGCCTGAAGACAATATCTGAGTTACTCTTATTACATTTCCATTTTACTCATCAAGGATTCCGCGTTTACATCGAAAATTTATTATATCAGCTAAAATGATTTATCTTCACCGAAATCCTAGTTATTCTTAATATCAGAGGCTTCATCGAATTCATTATAATATAGGCAATTGTATTCGGATCATTTTTTTTACTTATTTTCAGTCATGTCTTAAAAAAAAAACTCTGACGGATCATAGCATGTTGTTAAAAATATAGCTCTTATCTTTTACAATGGTCAATGTATATTTATCCATTATTCCTAACAATGATAACGGTTGACATATTTAAATATATCATAAATGACAGACCGTTTCTTCAATGGATGCTATTAAAGTTCTTTCACAAATTTATAGTTGCAACATTTTATAAAGGAGGCCCATTTTGAGCTAAATGTAATTAATATAGGTTATATAGTTTTGAGATTTCTATATTGAGACTATGTAACAGTGTTTATTTTAAATGATATAAGTGAATTAAATATGACGACGCATTCAAAATTTCTAAAACATCTTCAGAAGCTTTATATAAAAGAGATCTTGACAATTTTCGAGTAAGTTAGATCGGCATATTCGTTTAAAAACTCTTTATTATATAAGGATTGTCACTGATACACAAACTTTTTATAGGTTAAACTTGCATTAATTATTAAAATATTATTTTATACTAGACTGAATGGAGAAAATCGTATGTCTATTTTATTAAGCTTACGGAGATTACATTTATTATATATATATATAAAAGTCGGAATAATTTTTCTATGAATTGAATAATATATAAAAATTATCGAAGCCATTATAAAGTAAAATATCTTTTGTCAAATGAATAAAAAGTAATATTTTTTAAATTATAGAAACTATATTTTTTGTTGTAGAAGAATACTAAAGTGGCCTTGAATCGATAGTTTTTATGAACGGTTTAGCAGTTATAACTTAAAAGATGGCGGGATAAAAAATAAACAGTGAAATAGAAATTAGAAATTGCCATACCATTTTAAAAAAAACATTAATTTCAGATCTAGATGCTTATCAATAGTATTCTTAGAAAATGTTCTCTCTTTCTTTCTTTATCCAAAGTAAAAAAAGCGCCAACTCGATCAAAAAAGGGTACTAGGTCACGAGTGAAAGTATCGTCCGCAGAACATTGAAGTAAGTGGTTATAATTAGATGATGCAAAATTTAAAATATCCAAACTTAAGATGATTATAAAATTAAATAGACAGAATAGTTATAGATTATTGGTATAGTACTAATATTGTGAATAAATGCACCAGACTAAGTCCAAAATATTAAATAATAAGATTTACAAACTTTTGAAACTATAGAAAAAAAATATAAGTTTTTTTAATATAATAATATAAGCTTTTTTTAATATAAAAATAAGCTTTTTTAATATTCATTAAAACACTCTTATTTTAATTACTTCTAAATCCTGAATTTTAGTGTTAACTATTTTTAAATAGTTAAAATTATATTATATAAAGTACCCCACTTAACTCTAAATATCCTAAACTTTGACTTGAAAAATTATTTTATAAAATATTTATTTTTAATTTTTAAACAAAAAATATATTAAACAGCAATACATAAAGAAAAATTTAGATAAGGTCAAAAGCGTACTATCAACTCAATAAGCTAGATCCTCTAGTCGGGATAAACACCGCCAAATTTTTTAAGTTTCAATATAAGCTTTTTTTAATATAAAAATAAAAACGTGTCCAAAATATAAACCTAAAAATATTACAAATTTCAAAAATTAACATACGATTTCATTAAAATTTTAAAACTTCTGAAAGTTCTAAAACAATTTTTAAAAAAGATATTAAACTTAGCCTTAATAAAAATAATGTATTATTACCATAAGGAATAGTGGTTATTTCTCTTTCAATCTCACTACTTGAAGTACTAAGAGCTTCGGAAGCTTCTTCCAAAATGTAGGCAGTCTTTTCGTCAAAATCTGGCAAAAATTCGAGGTCTAGTAAATCGTTTTGGTTATCTGATTTTTTTTTATAAATGATTGTAGTTAATCTATATAAGGCAAAATTGAATATAAAAAATATAAAATAATTGCGTAATAAATAATATTTAGAATGATTTATTTATTTTATAATTTTACCATCTAAAATGACAAGAGATTTAAGGAATTTCTTTGTATCCTCAATGTTCATAATTTTCATTTGGATAAATTGAGTTTCATTTTTAAAGTTATCACCTGGGGTTTCGTTAATATTTTGGGCATCAGTATTACTGTTTAAATTAGATGGAATAATTTTATCGTCATTAGTTTTGGCACTCGTTAAATAGTTTAAGAGATGGGTTAAGCATTTCAGATTAAAACATTGACTATAATTCTTTTCAGTGTGTTCATTGGAATCTATATATATACATACATAAATAGAAAAATTTAGAATGTGACTTAGGTAAATTAGATAATATTTTTATTTAAAGTAGTGAAGGTTAAAGTCCAATTCGGCCTTATCAGGACATTGATCAAGTCCTGTCTTTTACGTGGATCTTTACTCTAAAGATAAATTTTAATATGTAATTAATTTTAAAAAAACATCTATCCATTAAATTTTATAATCCTTCATCAGAGTTAAATAGTACCAAGTATTTAAGATATAGATAATATTGTACCTTGTATTTTCTATCTTTTTGACATTTTTAATAATTCTGTATCTAAAATACTTAATTTTCAAAAGAATCTTGTATTTTTTTCATTTCCTTGACAAAAGGTAAGATAGATAATTTTTTATATTTTTGTCTAAAGATTTAAACCAACATTCACTTTAATTTAACCTTATTTTTATAATGGATTCTTGCATTTAATTTTATTTTTCTTTCCTTATATCGTTAACTATTCCATTTTAATGAATAACGATCAGAATAAAAAAAAATAAAAAAGTATTCTAAATCTAAATTACTTTAATTTAGCAAAAGAAACATGCATCATATATCTTTCTGATAATTCTAATACAAGATACTTGTATGTTTATCTAAGATATTTTTCTTAAGAATTTAGATTCTAAATCGCTAAAAATTGTGAATCTCGCTTATAACTCCTCGAAAATTTTTAAAGTAAATTTAAAAATAAATATTAATAAATAGTTGAGTTTTTAAAATAATTACTAAAAATAGAGAAAATATTATCACTCCTAATTTGATTATCAAATTGGGAATATGGATAATTTTACTATAAAATTTTTTTAGGAGATATAAACGAGATTCCTAATTTATTTTTGTTTTAGCGATTTAAAACCTATCCCAATTATCCGAATACGCTAATTATTGGAGAAATTAAGAAAAATTGTAAAAGAATAATAGAAAATAAAGCTGAGGAAAAATTGCTCATAATATATTCGAAATATTCATTTTAAATTTTCAAATGGACATGTTATTTTTTAATTTTTTTTTAGTCCCTTTATTTATTCTAAAAAATTTCAATCAATATTTTATAAAAATTTAATTTTAGTTATTAATTAATATTAGATTCAATATTCAAACTAATTTAGCTTTTAATTTAAAACTAATAATTTAACATCAGTTAAAGGTTAAAATGCTGATTTTTGTATCTTTAATCCCCATTATCTCAAGTAATATAATTGCTAATGAGCTAAAATTTCGTTTCAGATATTATTAGAACATATATCGTGCCTACAAATATTATCAAATTGAAAGGTCGACCCAAGATTTTCTTGTTCATTTGATATGGAATGTGCTTATATTTTTTAATACATATAATGATGCAAAATCGCTTCATAGCCGATTTTTAAAAACGCTTAACTCAATATTTTAGCCAGAAAAATATTTCCTAAGCCTCGAGATTTCGCTAATAGATGTCCCAAATTTTGTCATCTTTAAGCAAAATCTTTAGGCTTGCATATTTTCAGGATAAAATAGTAAGTTAGGTCATTTCCATACAGAAAGTTTTTTCAATACCAGCTTTCCAAAAAAAACTAACGAATTAATTTTTTTTATATAATATGATATTTTTAAATAAAACAATCCGGATCCCTATTTTTTTAATCGTAAATAAAAAACAAACTGGTTTGATTTTAAAAACGATTAAATGACCTCTTGAAATGTGGCTCCGAATTGTTATTTTAAAATATTATATTATACAAAAAAAATTAATTCGTAAATTTTTTTTGGGAAGCTGGTAACATTACCCAAAAACCGCTTTGAAAAAACGTTCTGTCTGGAAATGGTCTCAGTCGCTTTTAGATTTGTGCGCCGACGGAACCATAGGCGGCAAGAGTTTTAAGAATCTAATCGGCGGCCGGCGGCGCGCTATACATAAGGCAGCATAAATCAGCGCACCGACATATATTTAAAAATAATATATGCATTACAGAAATATCGTATTTTTAGATCTTTATTGAAAAGAAAACTAATTATGACTTCAATCTCAATTTTGTAATTTCATAGTTATATGTATATAAATAATTTTAGCCGGACATAAGGATAATCTTCATGATTCCAACGTCAAGCACGGTGGTAGGTATGCCAATTGTCGGATTTTTGGCTAGCGTGGAAAGATTAAGTTCGATCCTCTTATCTCTCTAAAAATTTAGAACATCCATATCCAGTGAATGACAATTTTTGAGAAAGAATATGACATTATTTTTTTATCACTTAAAGTGGAATCATAATTTGCTTGTTGTAGCGTGCTTATTTACTAACTTTATCATATAATTTGAATTTGATATTTTCTCTTGGTTTTCATCTCTACTAATCTAATAATCATACTATAATAAAATTCACTGATGTGCAATTTTTCTCTATTAATCACAATTGTTAATTTTTGAGATCTTAAGTCTAGAAGAGAAGCTAAAACCTAAATCATTTTAGAAATAAAACGTAAATAAATAAAATAATATTAATTTCAAATTGCAAACAAGAAATCGTAAGGCAATTATTTTAAACGTATTTTCCTTAAGTGAAAAATTTCCGAGCTATTATTATCATTTACTACTAAATGCATTTCTATTTCAATTCTGAAAAGAATAATGCTAAGTTTAATATAAGTCCTTAAGATAGAAATTAAATTGTCTCTGTACATTTTGAAAGAAATATTAATGGTTCCTCTACGAGATCCTATTCATAGTTTGAGATTTATTCAAAACATTATTAATTAGATTTATTTATTAGCTCCAGATATGAGTTCGAGCTTATTTAATATACCTACCATCCAGTAGGAACATATAATTTTAATGTTCTCGTCATTATTATCATCAATGGAATGACAATTCTAAAACAGGTACCTGAGTATAAATCAGTGCTATCAAGTAGCATATACAATGTAGATCAATTAGAAATTTTCTCTGACTTACAAAACAATTACAACAGTGATGTTGATTAATCATTGGAATAAAAATTATTTTTAAAATGTATGCTCTATCGGTGCGTTGCCGATATAAATATCGGTAGGGCGCTGGCGTGATTTTCATAAACAGTGGTGTTTTCGGGGCAATCAAAATATCAGCAGCTGTCCCACAAGTCTACGACCTAAAAACTAACTAAACTATAAGTAATACAAGAATTAATTGAAATTCTCCGCATCTCATGCCAAGGCGATATTTGATGAATTTCCATTAGAGTCCTGCAGAGCTGATTGGTCAGCCTGTCCCAACAAACCAAAAATTATTATCGTTCTATTTACTTAAATAAGAAGTTTTAAAAAACCAGGAGATAGGTAATATACTATTAATTTCAGTATCATATTTTAATGTGTTATTAAAGTAACTAGTTATATTATTGCTAAAAAATAACTGTAACTAATTATATTTTAAAAATTGTAACTAGTAACTCGTTATATTTTTTAAAATGTAACTGTCAGAAGTAACTAGTAACTTCAAAAAAAATGTATGTATAAATCTAAATAATATTTCAAATAATTAATATACTATAACTTTATAAAAATATATAATTAAAAGAAGAGAAATTAAAAAATAAAATATTTTAGGGTTGGTCGGCGGAGCTTAATGACCCATGTATAGAACGACAAATTTATTGATATTCTTTGTCGTAGATAGAAGCCTTCTTTTGGATCACCTGTGATTAAACGTAGTCTTTGCCCTATTAGGGTTTGTTTGGGGTCCAAATGATCCACAGGTGTCTGAGACTACCCGAACAAACAAAAGATTATTAAGGTGGCAATATTAATTTTTTGTATTTTCAGCTTTAGTGATGGAGCTAACAGATAAAGATCTGGCAAAACGATCTACACATGTATAATCCCAAACAAGAGGTAAACCTTGGTTCCAAGGGACTAGCTTTGTGCTAAATTAATTTTAAATTAAATTTAAAATTTTGTTTAAATGTCTGATCGTGTTCGCAAAGGATATGTCCAAATAGATTTTCTTTTCATAAACTATAATTAGTTATGTTTCAAAAGTAACTCACTAATATTTTGTAATAAATGGAATAAAATAAATAGGTATTAAATCATGAAGGTTATTGTTAAATATTTAAATTCAATGCATAACATTAAAATGGTAAGCGGAAAATAATTCCCCGGAAAAAAATCCCCTGGAAAATAATTACCCAGGAAAAAATATCCCCTGGAAGATAATTCCCCGGAAAAATATTCCCCTGGAAAAAAATTCCCACAGAAAATAATTCCCCGGAAATAAATTCCCCATTTTTTAGATTTTAAATAAATATGGGGGAAAATTAATCCCTGGAAAAAATTCCCCGAATAATTTTTTTTAAATTATCAAAAAATAATCCCGCCGCTAAAATAACGAAAATATTTCTAAAAAATATATTAGTATTTTCTGAACGTTGAGAGTATTTCTTTTTTAATTCCAAAAGGGCAAACTTTAAATGAGAATTGATAAATCGGTTGGTAGCTTTTATATTATATAATTTAGTAGATAGCATAAAAAGTATAGATTTGTGACGATAGATTTTTATAGAAATATATGAAAAGGTTTTACAATTTAAAATTGAAAAAAAAAATGTGAAAGCAAATTTTTCCCTAGAAAGAGAAAGGTTATTTCCATAATCCACTTTTCATCTAGACTTGAATAGATATTATGAAAACATGTAATTAAACCACACTTGAATAGATATTATGAAAACATGTAATTAAACCACATTATATTTACCATGAAGAGGGGGGTTTATTTCTAACACGCCACTAAGGTTAAAATATATATAACATTAAAATGAATATTACAGGGTTTCCCATCCAAAAAAGTAAAAGTCCCAATCAAAAAAGGAAAAGGTTCAATCAAAAAAGGAAAAGTGTCAAACAAAAAAGGAAAAAGTTCAATCAAAAAAGGAAAAGGTCCGATCAAAAAAGGAAAATTGTCAATCAAAAAAGGAAAAGTCCCAAAGGTTAAGGAAAAGGGTCAATCAAAAAAGGAAAAGTGTCAAACAAAAAAGGAAAAGGTTCAATCAAAAAAGGAAAAGTGTCAAACAAAAAAGGAAAAGGTTCAATCAAAAAAGGAAAAGGTCCAATCAAAAAAGGAAAAGTGTCAATCGAAAAAGGAAAATTCCCAAAAGAAAAGGAAAAGGGTCAATCAAAAAAGGAAAATTCCCATTCAAAAAAGGAAAATCGTAATTTTTTTAAAAAAATATATAAACTTTTCAATTTTTCTTAAATTTATTTATTTTTGTCATTCTTTCTTATTTTATTTCTAACTTTTTACGATTTCTTTATTTTATTTGTATCTTTTCTCATTTTTTTTTCTTCTCATTTTTGTGGTTTGACTGAAAGTCTTCATTCTTGGTCTGGATGGGTATGATTTGGTCTGAGGGTGGGGGGGAAAGGGGTGTAAAAATAAATTTTTTGATGAGTATCAAATAAAATCTAATTTAAATATCTTTAGATTTAAATTATTCATTTTTTGTCTTGATGGGTATGACTTGGTCTGAGGGTGGTTGGGGGGGGGTGTATAGAGGGGGGGGGGGTAAAAATAAAATTTAAGAAAAATTGAAAAATTTATAATTATTTTAAGAAAATTATAAAAAATTACGATTTTCCTTTATGAACGGGAATTTTCCTTTTAAGATTGAAACTTTCCCTTTTTTGATTGGACCTTTTCCTTTTTTGAATGGGAAACCCTGTATGTTGAGGGCATGACAGTCATACCCATCAAGACAAAAAATGAATAATTTAAATCTAAAGATATTTAAATTAGATTTTATTTGATACTCATCAAAAAATTTATTTTTACACCCCCCTCCCCCCTCAGACCAAGAATGTAGACTTTCAGTCAAACCACAAAAATGAGAAGAAAAATTGAGAAAAGATACAAATAAAATAAAGAAATCGTAAAAAGTTAGAAATAAAATAAGAAGGAATGACAAAAATAAATAAATTTAAGAAAAATTGAAAAGTTTATATATTTTTTTTAAAAAATTACGATTTTCCTTTTTTGAATGGGAATTTTCCTTTTTGGATTGACACTTTTCCTTTTTTGATTGGACCTTTTCCTTTTTTGTTTGACACTTTTCCTTTTTTGATTGAACCTTTTCCTTTTTTGTTTAACACTTTTCCTTTTTTGATTGACCCTTTTCCTTAACCTTTGGGACTTTTCCTTTTTTGATTGACAATTTTCCTTTTTTGATCGGACCTTTTCCTTTTTTGATTGAACTTTTTCCTTTTTTGATTGAACTTTTTCCTTTTTTGTTTGACACTTTTCCTTTTTTGATTGAACCTTTTCCTTTTTTGATTGGGACTTTTTTCCTTTTTTGGATGGGAAACCCTGTATGACACTATTCTGTTCCGTTCGTTTATATCAGTTTGAATCCAGGACAAAAATAACATAATGGATATTTTTTATGTTTATTACTATTGATTTTAAAAATTATCTGATTATAAATTTTCAAAAAAAGTATTGATCCTAATCACTAATTACAAAAGCTTATTTAATTCAAAGACTATCTCAATTAATTGAATGCTACCAAAAAATATACTATTTATTCTAAATAATATTTGTTTATTTTTATTTTTATAAATATAAATTTTATAATTTTTAATATATTTAATTCATCAAAGAAAACACAAGAGGAACTATAATCTTAATATAAAAACTTTTTTATTTGAAAGTTACCAACTCCGGAAATGTTATTACATAATCCCAGTTAGTTCCCTGATATTATTATTATTTATAACGTTGAAAGAAAAGTTATGCTCAAGAATAAATAAATTTATATATTGGGTGTTATATTCTATGTAATCTTGAAACAAACGATTTTCATTTAGTTTTTTTATTACTTTTTATAAAATTTTCTTTTACTATTTTAAACATTTTTGATAATTTTAATAAATTTTTTATGTTTATTCTTCCGTTAAATAAGCATGCTAAAATTTTTCATGAGGGCTATTCCTACAATTATCATAAAACTACGAAAAAATTTAAAAGATACAAATGTACATTATATAATGCTGATAAATGCCCAGTTATTTTAAAATATTACAATGAAAATGACTATACATTGGAAAATACGCCTCATATTCATCCTATAAACCCACATGAATATCAAATTGAAAATGCTATAAGCACGATGAAAAGAAAAGCCTCTGAAACAAATCAAAATAATTGCCAAATATACGCAGAAGAAATGTCAAAATTGTCTCCCGAATCCAGAAAAAGACTTCCGAATGAAGATAGTATCAAGGACACTTAAAAATCACAAAATAAAAAGGTTTCCTTCTATTCCGGCCACATTGAAAGAATTAAGCATTTCAGGTTAAATCATATTTATGTTTATAAATAACTTTTTAATTGAAAATATCTTTTAATATTAGAGGATTGGGCTACAACCGGATCTCCCACGAATGAGAGATTTCTTTTGCATGATAATGGCGGAGATTTTAATGAACGAATAATTATATTTGCCACCGATTATATGCTTAAAATGTTAGCCGAAACGAAAACTTGGTATATAGACGGGAATTTTAAATTGGCTCCTCATTTATTTTTGCAGCTATATGTAATTAGAATACCCTTTAAAACACTGTTTATTACAGCGGCATATTTTTTGTTACAAAGAAAAACATACAACGTATGAAGAAATTTTTAAAATTTTACTCGAAAAAGCCCAAGAACGGGATTTAGTCAAAGATCCGATAACAATTTATATGGATTTTGAAAAGGCTGCAATCAATGCCGTCGAAGGTTTCTTTTTACGATTTAATTACATCTACATACTATCGAGATATGTTAGGACCTTGATTTTAAAATATATTTTGGACCGTCGACCTTGAACGGGTCAAAAAATGATATGAATTTATGCCAGGCCAAAATAAAAATCGGAGCTGGCCATTATCATTATTTAACTTATAATAATATTTAGCTTAATATTACAGAGACTAGGTAATTTTTCAATTTATAAATCCGGGCCAAAATAAAAAATCTGAGCTGGCCATAATATTTTGCATAATATCAGATAGACTAGGTATCCAATTCGTTTATTTTATAAATATTGCTTTGTTTAATTTTCACTAAACCTGGGTTCGGGATAAGTCCATAACATTATACATTATATTTATTAGTATTAATTAATAATTTAAGTTTTTGTTAGGTTTAATATTAATCACAAGTACTATTTTATTTTGAAAATTTTTATTTGGAAAAAATTTACAAGAATTTTTGACGATTTTCTCAAAAAATATTTTAGGGATTTTTTTTACGGGGATATTTTTTCCTATATCTTTAATTTTATAAAAATAATTTAATATTTTATAGGATTTAAAAAATGGGGAATATTTTTTTGAGGAGATTTTTTCCGGGGAATTATTTTCTATGGGAATTTTTTTCCGGAGAATTATTTACCTGGGAATTTTTTTCCTGGGGATTTTTTTTCCGGGTAGTAAACTTCCGGGGAATTTTATTCCAGGGAATTTATTTTCCCGGGATTTTTTTTCCGGGGAATTATTTTCCTAGATTCCATTAAAATAATTATTTTCAATTTCTTTCCCATAAACGTTTTTCATGCTGCATGTCAGGCCTAGATCTAAAAAAATTCCCTATTGGGCAGGCTTACTATAAAAATTTTTTGCAGTTTCTAGTTACCATGAATGATTAATTGAATTTCATTTTATTCTATATAGTTATTATCTCATTTAAAATATGGAAGGCAATGCAACTTTTAAATCCTTTCCTGTTGTGTAATATAGCAAAAAAAATTATATTTAGCCATTTAAAAAAAAAAATATTTTGATTTAAACAATACAAATAAATTGAATGTTGGTTTCTTTTAATCATTTATTATTACTAGGAAATTATATAAATATAATTATAAATACTAGCCCAAAATATCCTAATATAGTGATAATATTCAATTAGATTTTTTGAAAATATTTGGCCTTCTAATTTTTTTCAAAAATGGTAAATATTCAATCTGAATTTTAATTTATATAATTTGATCAAAAGTTAGGTAAAAATAAAATCAAACCACTTGCATAATTGATTAGTTAAATATGTTTGTTAATAAGGTAAAACAACAATCATTATGTTAAGTGAGGAGTATATCATTTTAGAGTAAAAGGTCAGTGGTTCCAGGTGGCACAGCAAATGGGCTAGACATTCAATCAGAAAGAACTAAGATAGAGTTTGTCATGGTAATGTTATATTGAACTTAAATAAAACAAATTAATTTATCACTTAATATGTAAAATTATAAAAAAAAACTTTTATAAAGTTATAACATAAAATTCATAAAAATCTATTTTAATAAATTTAAAAATATATATATAGGACACAGTAAACATAAAATTTGGTCACTTTTATAAGGATGATAAATCCAATAATAAATATAATTTTGGAAAAATCATAAAAAAGGATCAAAAATTGACTTGTGCTAGTTTTGTCCTAAATATTTGGGGATAAAACTAACCCCGCCCCCCATACTTCTTGGTATTCTAATAATCCCCCCAGATTCAGGATGATCTCAGGAATCTCACCATAGTTTATAATTAATGAAAACCTATAAAAATAAAAAACTCTCAATTAAAAGAAAACACCCGTAAAGTCTTTTCCCGTATTTTAAAAACTTAGCAAAAGAGGGATGTTAAAAAAACTAGACCTAAGAAAAATAACCTAAAGGGCAAAAATGTAAATAAATATAAAAACATTTAATAGTTTTTGTTTTATAGCATAGAAAACTTACTATTTATTTTGAGATTGTAATCCTGATCACCTTTTTCTTTATCTTTGATACATTTTGAAGGTTTGGAAATTTTTATATTTCTGATTCTTTTGTAAGACTGGGGAATTGCATAAGATAAACATTGTACTAATTTTTTACACCCATATTTGCTCATACCATAGAAAATGAATGGGAATAGGGAGATGTAAGGCCAAGTTAATACTGATATAGCTTGAAATAAAACAAAAATATTTATAATAAAACATAGTATTCTAATTCATTTATATATTTTAATTTACATGCAAGGTGGAGTAATACCACTCCTGGAATATACCTCCCTAAGATTGCTGAAGCAACACAGGATGGTACAACCACAACAGTATACTAAATGTTTAAAAAAAAATACAAATTTAATAAATCAAAATAGCAAATAGATGAACACTAACTTTTGTTATAGAATTCCTTCTAATTAATAATAAAAATTTAGCAACATTTCCACAAGTTGAAACAACCTTCCATATTCGATTATCTGGTTCATTAACTAACTCTACATTATCAATTACAATCCATCTAGTAAACGATATGATAAATTTATAAATATAAAAAAAATACCCATTTTCATCTTCAAACCCAGAGTATGCAACTTTTTCTAAAAAAATAAATAAATATATATATATATAACTATTATAAATACCTCTAATGTTAGTTGATATTGATTTTTTCCAAAACATATAGATTGCAAATAAAGCAAGGGCAATGATGAAATAATCGATATTACTAGTTGATTTATTAAGATCAGAATAGATATGCCTATAAACAAAAATATTCTAAGTTGTTTTAAAAAAAATATCACCAAAACAATAAATTTAATGAGAAGAATAAACAAAATTTGCGTATAAATGTTTCTAAAAGAATCAATTTTATAAAACAATTTCTGATGTAAATTTTAATTAAAAATTTTTGAAAAATCAGGTCATCTTTAAGGTGTTCTAAATAGGCCTCTAATAGTGAACTTTTAAATCGCACATTCAAGGCAAAATTATTCCATTTTCGTTTTAATTTTGCAACTACTATCATGACATTTTGGCATCATAATTTTTTTTTGTCTAAAGGACAAAGGCCACACACAACGTTGTATATGTTAGGTATTTATTTTCAAACCTGTTGAGTTTCTAGAATTTTAACAAGTATTAATCATGGTCAAAAGAACATGCAAATAGAGAAGCTTAAAATATATTAATTTTATCTAAGATTTTCTTAAATATTTTTAATTTTTTTTGTTTGAACTATATATAATTTGTTTATAATTATCTCAAGTTAATATTTCCAAACTGAAGAATATTAATAATCATTCAGAAATAATCAAAATTATTTTCAGAAAATGATTAATTACTTATTTAAATTATTATATATATATATATTAAAACATACATAGATAAAATGTAGTCCATGCTAAAACATTAATAAGCTAGAGGAATAGTTATTTATAAGATGTGCTGAAATATTTGATAAATATCTTTTATTTAAATTGAATATCTATATAATATTTTAGACATGTTAATTTAAGGATCTTTTAAGATATGCTTGAATATTTTATAAAAATCTTTTGTTTTAATAGAATATTATAATATTTTAGATTTATTTAATTTTAACATTTTAAAATTATCTTCAAATTAAGATTTCTAAACTGGAGAATTTTAATAATTATAAAGATTTCAAGTTTTTTTAGGAATATTTATGATAATTTTCAAGACATGGTTATTATTTATTTAAATAATTATCTTAATATATTTACAACATCCCATCTTAGGAGTTAGGACTATAATATGAAAAACTTTGTTTCAAGCTAAGAACTTCTGTGGTCATGTTCTAGGTATTTTTTGTCTTTTACTATGGATATTATTTTTAATTATTATTATATGTATTTTTCAGAGTTGTTAAAAGATCGAATCGAAAGATCGACGATCCTGGATTCGATCGCAAATTTGTCAATTTTACGAGATTTATGATTCTGACTTAAATTGAGGATCGAGATCATTTTGTTTAAAATTCGATCCCGATCTTTTTAAAAATTAATTTTTTACTTAAAAAGCAATAAATAAAATAAAAATTTTGAAAATAAATTAAAATATTATTTTTTAAAAAAATATCTATCTTCATAGTTTATCAACTTCCATTCCACCATTTATTTTATAGATATATTTATTCATTTCCTAAATTTTACGAGATTTAGAGCTCTTACAAGTTATTTAATATAAATTTATAATAATATATTAATATTTATTTTAATAAGTAAATGTAAATGTCCATTATAGATTTAGAAGATTCTATTGCTTCTACTATTGATGTAACAGCAGATATAAGTGAGAATGAGAATCTTTTACCATTTTTGAAATTACGCAAGTATTTTACTTTAAGTGAAATGGATGGCAACTCTTATAATATGATCAGCACCAAATGCCGTCTTTGTAGAAGATAATATCATCTTCCAAAATATCATCCTCGAACTTAAAGAGATATTTACAAGTAATTCTTTTAACTTTTTTTTATTTGATAATCTTAATGTCAACATGTTTAAATTTAATTTATTACATTCCTGATTTGAGCAGGTCCTACAGAAATAGAATCTAGATACAGATTCTTTATAAAAAAAATGAATTATTAGATACAGTATAATTAATACAATATTTGATGAAGAGTTAATCTTGGTTTTGTTATTTATATATAATAATTAGGCATTTATTTTTTAATATTACTATTATATTAGTTTAATTTTCAAAAGAAGAGTATTTATAATAAATGGAAGTGTAATAACTAATAATTAAGCCTTTATAATGTATTTTGACTTTCTTTAATATAATTAAAACATCCAGTTCAATGTTATTTGTATTGAACTTAGCAATGTTTCAACAAAAGAAAAATAAATATCTATTCTATTATTTCTTTATTATAATATGTTAAATCTAATCAATTAGTAATATAGTCAGTTTGAGCTTGATTATATAATCTTCTTGACAACATTTTTAGGGCTTTTTTAAATAATATATTTTGAATTGAAAGTATTTTTTGTATCATTTGACTCAATCCATAAGTTCTTAAATGCCAAAAAGCCCCATTATATTCATAATAGGAAAATTCAAAATCTTTGGCCCATATCATCTTGGGCAACTTTTAATAATGATAGACAATATTGTAAACTTACATTTTTAAGATAACCTACCCCCTTTTAACCACAATAAAACATACTTTAATATGTTTAACAAAATTTGTTGAACCCTTAATCCATAGTTCTTAAATGCCAAAAAGGCTAATTATATTCATATATAGGTAAATATTTTATCAAAATCTTTAGCCCATATCATCTTGGGCAACTTTTAATAATGATAGACAAGGACAATATTGTAAACTTAAAATTTAAAATAACCTATATGAACCTTTTTTAACCATATATAAATTAAATAATATACTTTAATATGTTTAACAAAATTTTTGTTGAACCCTTTATCATTTTTTTGTTTATATAGGTTTTACATTCAGCCTGTACATTGTTTTTTTTACTTTAAATTTCCATATAAAATTTTAAAAATGAAATTTGATTCAGGAGAAGTTATTTTCATCCAACTTTGATACATACTATTTTTTTCTTTTATAAAGAAAAAGCACAGTGAATTTAAAAATGAGATTACCAAACACCTCAACGAATTCTCTACACAAAAAAATATATCACTGCAAAACCAAAGTGGTTCTGGTTGCAAATCCAGACAATCTAAATTAAATTTTAACAATCTAAACATTCCAGCTGTATCGTAAAAAACAGCAGACAAGGTTATCATGGATTTTATTATAGACACCTTCCAACCACTGTCTCTGGTTGATGATCCTTCATTTGAAAAAATGATTTAAACTTATTCTCCTGCTACAAAAATTATTTGTCGCCAAACACTGGGCAACAGGATATCTACTTCCTTCTCTTATATGACGACAAATCTTATAAGAGATTTGTCTGAAGTTTCTCATGTATGCACCACTGCTGATTGTTGGAGTGGTCATCGAAAGTATATTATATTTATATGAATTTTATAATGTTTATTTTATTAGAGCTTTTATTGGACTTACTGCACATTGGCAGGATCCATTAACCCTCAAGAGAAGGTCAGCCGCTTTGGCACTGAGGAGGATAATTGGGAGGCAAACATATGATGTTTTGGCCAACGAAATTATGGGTATCCACAAGTTTTATAAAATTTATAATAAGGTGGTGAAGATGGTGACTGACAATGGAACCAACTTTGTCAAGGCATTTAAGTAATATTTATATTTAGCAAAAATTATTTAAATTAATTAATTTTTTCTAGAGTTTTTGGAGTAAATGAAGAAGATAGTAGTGAGGATATGGAATTGATAAATTTGGATGACATATTATCCGTTGATGACCCAATTATTCCTACTATCAGCCTACCAAAACATCAACGTTGTTGTTGCCATAATCTTAACCTTATTGCAACAACAGATGCGGAGATGGCAGATAGTGATCTCAATTATAAACTAATATCTAGATCCACTTTTGCAAAATGTTTTGCTTTAGTTAATAAACAAAATATGTCGTCAAAAATGGCGGATATTTATTGGAGAAATTGGGAAGATATTTAATAGCTCCCAACAAGACAAGATGGAATTCTTATTACCATGGGAGGATAATATGGAGCAGGGATATCTAACTCCCGTTCTATCGATATTGATAGATAAATTAACGAAATTTAGCTGCCTGCGGTATTGTCAGCCCCTTGTAGATAGTGTTCTTAGAGGTATTGATAAAAGGTAATATTTTTTTAACAATTATTTTATATTATCAGATATCTGCAAAATATATTTAAAAAATTGCAAAGATCTGGCAAATTTAGTAAAATATTTTTAACAGGCCAGTTCTACTAAACCTCTGATATCTAGTAAAATATTAGTGGGCCTTTGTAGAATTAAAAATTTATTAGATTATTTGAATTTTAAGCTAATATTTTGATTAATATTCTTTGTAAATAAATTACAATGTTTATTTCTTTGAATATTAAGTATTAAGTTTACATTTAATCAATACTTATGATATGACCCAAATATAAATACCATAAAGATGATGTGCCAGACTTGACTGTAAAATTTAAAAGGGTTAAGTTTTGCAGATACTTGATTTGATTTATATGAATAAAATGAACACTTATTTTATAATAAATTAATTATCATTTCATAATATAGATTTCCTTCACTGTATGAAGACAGTAACATTTTGGCAGCCATGATTCACCCTAAATTTAAACTTAATTGGCCTTATATTAATCTGCCACAAAATATGATGGTAAAAGAAAGATTAGTTGCCCATTTGGAAAATATGCAGGAACAACCATATGTGGATACCTCAAATGAATGTATGGATGACATTGATGCTTTTTTTGGGAAAAATACTGTACAAAATGCTTGTTCCGTTAAAAAAAATTTTTTATTCAAATGATGTTTCCATGAATAGCATATCATGTTCTAAATGAAAGACGCGGATGTTTAAATGATGATAATTTAGAAAAAATTTTATTATTAAAAGCTAATATTTATTATTCAATTACAAAAAATTTCTACCATATTTAATTTATTTTTATATTAGTTAATTTTGCATCGGTTATATTATATTATTATTCAATTACAATAAATTTATAACATATATTAGTTAATTTTGCATCGGTCAGAAATTTCCTTCAGAAATTTAAATAGAAAAAAAGATCGTTATCGCGATCGCGATCTTTTTTTTAAAAAAAGGTCGATCCTGGATTTCGATCCTCTTTTTTTAAAAAGATCGTGATCGGGATTCGATCGTTTTAAAAAGATCGGTTAACAAGCCTGGTATTTTTAAATAAAAGTCAAAATTGTAAAAATTGTAAAAATATTATTTATTATTATTTTTTTGGTGAATAAAATCTACGTATGTTTTAGAAGAAGCTTTTATTTTTGAGAACTATCTAGATCTGTGCGCCGCCGGCTCACGCCGGTATTTTTATCACGGAGGAAAAGCCGCCGATTTTTATTATGATGGCGGCGCGGCGTGTGTAATTTTTAG